GCCATCCAAATCTCAAATTATAACCTTCCAAGTTTAATAATTTTTCATTTCTCAAGGTAATTCATTCTTTAAGCCATACTAAACATAGTACAATTTCAAATCAGGAAGACCCAAACCACCTCTTTCTTTCACATTAAGGTCACTGCTCAGTGACCTTAATAAAGATAATCAGAATGCTTTGGACAAATCCATTTTCCCTATTTAACTTTTCTTTTTTTAAAAAAATGTTAAGTAGCTACCTTCTTTTAAGACACATTTTTGATTGGGAAAAACTGAAACTAATCTGTTTCCTTCACGACCCCTCTCGTGCTCCTGCCACCCAATTTACCTCTCTGTTTCCAACATGAGTGCCACCTCCACCCCAGAATTATGGAATCATTTGTGCCACTGCAATTAGCTGGACATGCCATTTGGCCCAAAGAAGACTGTGCACCCTCAGACAAAAGATGGGGTAGAGGGTAGTGGGTTGTGTGGACAAGTATCTGAATGGAAAAGCAACTTCCATGCTGGTTTTCTTCTGGTATTTTCTGGGTCTGGCCAGAAGATAGCTAACAAGCCCATAAATTACCTCCATGGCCCGGTCTATGTTAGGGAAATTGTTATTGAAGTATTCACAGTGAGTAAGATATGGATGGATTTTGGAAAAGGTTCAGATCACCAAGAATAATCCTGCCTGCCATCAGCTTGAGGGTTTGGGGAGACCCTGAAGGTGGCAACGTGTTTGGCTGAGCTTCTCTTGGCTGGGAAGCTAAGTAGAGTCAGGCCCTGGCACAGGTCCAGTTAGCTCTTGGAAGGAAGACCACCAGAAATAGCAAGGCACTAGAACACCCCCAAAGAAGGTAATGACAAGCCATGACATCTTCTTGCCAAGGAACCTACCACGAAGTGAACATGTGAGTTGGACTGAAAAGAAACATTGCCTTCTATACAATGCTTTAGGAAAGGGCTAATACAGACTCTGAAAAAAAAGCTAGGTCTTGTTCTATCCTACTCCTTATATTATGACAATATAATTCAGCAAAGAGAAAACACATTATCATGGGAAATATTTATTTTATTTGTAGGTAACTTAATAAGTTTTTGAGTTAAAACATACAGATTTCTCTTTTAAAAATGGGATACAGTTGTCCTTCTTATTGTAATTATGGTAGAAGGGCCTACTGCCAAAGATGGGGAAAATCTGAAAGGGATACTAGTTAAATCAGGTTGTCTACAGAATCAATGTGTGAGGTGACTTTCAAGCCCATCTTTGGGAGCAGGATTGGATGTTGGAGACCCACAGCCGGGTCGGTCTCCAAAAGCAGAAATCTGCTCTTCCCAGCAACTCAGCCTCAGGACTTTTCTTGAGGTGGTAGGGAATCTGTTGAGTCCTGAACATTGCCTTGCACTCTCCACATTCCATTTCACTAAACTGTCCCCCTCCTGCTGGTGATCCAGATCTATGTCCAGCAGATTCAGTAGATCCCCTTCACTCTCTTGTTCTCTGGATCAAAAGGCGATTTGGGGTGGACTTTGGCTGGAAAAGGGACTCCCATCCTTTCCAAGATATAGTCGCCCTCTTTCACAAACTCAAGGGAGACCTGAGCAGGAAAGAAAGCAAAGCATGGCTCCATCACTGGCTCTCCCATTTCCGGGAGAAAAGAGTCACAGAGAGAGCAAATTCCTCTCCGTCTCTACTACGGCCTTCCACCTTATTTAAAAGGATTCTA